TTTTAATTGTGAAACTTAGAAGAAGACAATATTTTTTAAACTTCCTTTTGATATTTTTCTAAGTTTTGAAAATTCAAAGGAAGAAAACATTTTCAAACAAGATAAGTTCTCTGGAAGTATCTTGGAATTCAACGAATATCTCAGAGGCTCAGGATCGAAGCTGGGGAAAGAGAATCTAAATTTACGGGGCTAATTTTGATGGGGCAAGGAAACAAATTGTATCAGGTCGAGGTTTGCAAGAGCACTCCCTGGTGGAAATGCAGACAAACTGAATCAATGATAGAGTGAAGACTTCTCTCGCAACCATTCTCCTTACAGATTGAGAAAAACATACATCAAAACATACATACATACATATACATACATGATACATAAAATTTGCATCAAACATTTATTATCATGTGTATTCAAGATATTTTTTCTCCTCTCTTGAGGATGAATTCAATAAAACATCAAATAAATTTTATCTTGACATTCATCATAATATCAAAGATTAGGCATCCATAAATACATCATTTTGATCTCTCAGAAAATCAAAGCTCGGAAATGACCAGATCTCTCTAACTTGAAGAAGCAATGATTTGGATTCCTGAAGTCAACAATCAAGACATTTCCTCAACATGCAGGAACAAACATACTTTTTTTCACCTTTGAGGGTGTTTTTCTTGAAACAAATTTTTGTCTCGCTTGAGATAATTTTTCTCAAAAACAATTTTTGTCTCGTTTGAGACAATTTCTCTAAAAACAAATGTTGTCTCACTTGAGACAATTTTCCAAATTATGAATTTGTTTCACTGGAAACAAACATCATCTTTGAGTCGTTTCTTTTGAAACAAAGGATCTTTGAGTCTATTTCTTTTGAAACAAAACTTTGTCTCTCTTGAGACAGATTTTATTGAAAAATCTTTGAGTCCTGTTTCACCTAAAACAAAATGAAAAAAATCTTTGAGTATGTTTCTTTGATAACAAAATTTTTTCTCTTTTGAGAAAGTTTCTTTTGAAAGAATCTTTGAGTATGTTTCTTTGGAAACAAAATTTTGTCTCTTTTTAGACAGTTCCTTTTGAAGAAAAAACTTTAAGTCTGTTTTTATGAAAACAAAGGTTTGTCTCTTTTAAGAAAATTTCTCTTAAAACTTGAGATTGTTTCCCTTAAAACAAAACCTATCTTTGAGTTTGTTTATCTTTAAATAAAAGTCTGTGAGTTGTTTCTTTTGAAATAAAAATTCTTTGAGTCTGTTTCTTTTGAACCAAAGTTTTGTTTCTCTTAAGACAATTTCGTGAAAAAAAAAATCTTTGAGACATTTCTTTTGAAACCAAAATCTTTGAGTTTGTTTCTTTTGAAACAAAGTTTTGTCTCTCTTGAGACAGTTTTCTTGAGAAAAATCTTTGAGTCTGTTCCTTTTGAAAAATCTTTGAGATTGTGTCTCTTAACAAAATCATCTGTGATTCTATTTCTTTAAAAACAAATTTCGTCTCTTGAGACAATTTTTAATGAAAAAAAACAACCTTTGAGATTGTTTATTTTGAGAAAAATCCTAGAGTCTGTTTCTTTGGAAACAAAATTTACAATCTTTGAGTCTGTTTCTTTTGAAACATCATCTTTGAGTCGGTTTCTTTTGAAATCATTATCCCTAAAGATGACCAGAACTCTTCATCATGTATGAGCCGTGTCATCTCCTGACCAGGTCTCTTAATCACGTAGGAGCCGTGTCACCCCTAGATAACCAGACGTCCTCATCACATAGGAACCGTGTTATCGCCCTTCCTAAAGATGGCCATAACTCTTCATCACGTATGAGTCGTGTCATCCCCGACTAGATCTCCTCATCGCGTAGGAGTCGTGTCAACCATAGATAACCAGCTGTCCTCATCGCGTAGGAACCGAGTTATCACCATTCCTAAAGATGACCAGAACTCTTCATCACATATGAGTCGTGTCATCCCCCCGACCAGATCTCTTCATCACGTATGAGCTGTGTCACCCCTAGATAACCAGCCGTCCTCATCGCGTAGGAACCGAGTTATCACGCTTACTAAAGATGGCCAAGAACTCTTCATCACGTATGAGCAGTGTCATCCCTCGACCAGATTTCCTCATCACGTAGGAATTGTGTCACCCTTAGACAACCCGAACTCTTCATCATGTATGAGCAGTGTCGTCCCCAACAACCAACATTATCCAATTTCTAAGCTTAAAAAGGATAGAACCAGACAAAAACGTGTTGTCTTGTCGTCTTTGCCATATTCTTTTTAACACAAGAATGTGCAAAGAGGGGCAGCTGTAGACACCCGTTTTTGTCTAGGTCTTTTCTATTTAATTTAATTTTATTATTATTATTATTATTATTATATATTAGTATTATTATTATATATTAGTATTATTATTATTTTATTAATACATTTTATTTTACAGGCCAATCCCGAAGCCCACTACAATCTTGAGGCCCAGTACAAGCTAACCCGACCCGGTTCAAGCCCAGCATCTGACCTATTTGAATTAGGGTTTCTATAAACCCTAAATATCATCCAACAGCCAGCCGCCACCGTCGTTTGGCCTTCCATTTTCCAGCCGCTCAAGCCGATTGTTTCCCTCGCCACCACCGGCATCGGAGCCAATGGGAGTCCATCCATCGAACAATGACCAGTTCGTGCAAAAAACAGAAAACAAATCAACCCCAAATGTCATCTACAGTAGCCCTAATCGAAAACCCATTAAAATAACACCCAAAAATCTCAAAAAATCGGGATTTCATCAGCAATATTCAGTGAGACCCATCCCCTATTCTCATTAGATATCATCATCTCACACAATAGACAAGATTAAAAGCACATGCAACAAGGGAAAAGGGGGAGACATTCGGCAAACATAAAAAAGAACATAAAAGAAAGAAGAAAAAACAAATTGAAAAGAAGAAAAATAACCAAGAAAGAAAAGTAAAGAGAGGAAAAGAGAAAGAGATGTTACCATAGTTCAAAGCTTGGGAAGCTTGAAGGTCACCGGGAGTTTCGAACTTTCGAATGTAAAACTCTAGATTTAGAAGTTTAGGGTGAGATTTGTGTTAAGTGGGTTTGATTTTTGGGATGAGGGTGAAAGAGGGAATCTTTTGAGGGTGGTTTTTCCTCTCCGGCCACCGTGGCCCTGCCGTGGCGTCGCCGTGAGCGTTGCCGGCGCTGATTGATTTTCTCCCTCTGATGAGAGAGTTCTCTCACTCTCTCTGTCTGTCTTCGGCTAAGATGAAAAATGAAGGGAGATGGGAGAATAAAAGCCCGTTATGGGGTTATATAATCTGACCAAAACGATGCAATTTTGGTCCCTTTTTTTCCGTGTTTTAGAGCTAGGGTATATTATCAGTTTAGTTCCCTAGCATTTTGTAATCATATTATTAAACCATTAAATGAAGTTATGATTTCTTTGATTTCGAGCCTTTATTTTTCATTACTTACGTTTTAGTCCTATTATTACCTACTATGCTATTCTAGTTATTATTTGATTTTGGTCATAATATTTGCTATTATTTCATTTTTGTCCCTGTGTTATATTTGGTTTAATTATGATTCGGCCTTTATGTTTGTGATTCATTGCATTTTAGTCCTAAGTTTCATTGTTGGGTTATTTTCATTCCTAGTGTATGAATTTGTTTAAAATGTATATTAGGGCTCTAGTATGTTTATATTTTCTGATTAGGTCCTATAAATTTCTGTTTTTCAGTTTGAACCCTTTAAATTTCTATTATTGCTATTTTAGTTCTTTAAATTTTAGTTTATTTGTTTTGGTCTCTTTAGTTTCTGTTTTTATTATTTTAGTCCTTCAAATTTATGTTAACTTTATTTTAGTCTTGTAAATATTTGTATTTTAATGATTTCATTTTAGTTTGTAATGTTTACTTATTTTTATGCTAGTCATTTATGTATGAATGTATTTTACTTATTTTTATGGTTATGTGTATTATGTAAATAATGTTTTCAATTCTACTTAATGTGATCATGTTATTTTGTATTTTTAATTACATTTATTTCCATTGTATTTTATCTATGGTTGAAATAGTCGAATCGTTTCAAGGACACGTATTCGTAAAATGAGTGTGTAAAGTACCACTTAGTCGAAGTGGTGCGATCTTGTACGACATTTTAACGACATTGTAACTTGAAATAAATCGAGTTTATGTTACTAATTAATTTATTTTAATGATGCAATGTGTGTTATTTTAATTCACAATTTATTTCATTGTATGCAAAATGCAAATCGTCAATTTTCATTTGTATTCAATTAATATTTATTAACGAGAGAATATTCTTTTGTTGATAAGAAATAGTTTGATTTAGCTTTCCCGATGGAGGATTGCTAATTTCAAGATTTCCTTTCGAGTTAAAGAATTTTTTGTAATTAATTAATTCGAAGCAAATTAAACAATGTTCGATAATTGAATCATATTTTAACTTTATATTCGATTTGTAATTTCCACCATTTACGACAATGTGTAAGCGACACAGTACCAATTTTGGGCGTTGTGGGGTGCTTACCATTCCCCACATGTAATCGACTCCCGAATTCATTTAAATGAATCTTTGGTAACGCATGCCATTTTTGTCTTAAAAAATGTTTTTTACTTAAAATTGTTTTAAAATACGTTTTTAAATATTCGACCTACCTAATCCAAAGGTCGATGACGACTCTATTCAATTTATTTCCAATTATTTTCAAATCACCCAATTTTTTCAAAATAAAAGTCATAATCATTTTTTAAAATAATATTTAATTATTTTACTTAAAAAATGGTTATGACACATCAATTTTATTTTCATTTGAGATGTAGAGAAGTGAATTAACAAAATGGGTATTTGCCCTTTTCACCAAGGGTTCGTCAACAATGGGGGAAATGAAAAAAAATGGTCAAGAAACTAAACATACAATGCTATGTTAGCTTTTTGTTCCATTCACAGCCTTTATAACCACAAAATGCATACATCTACTACAAATGGGTACACAATCTCCCCCATTGATGAGTACACAGTCACAGCAATACCACAAATGGACAGTATATGTATATGTGAAAACAAATGAACCAAAACATGTAGTGATTTTGAAGCCAAGTACAAGGAAACCACTTGTTCCTTCTTTTCTTTTCTTGGGGTTTAGGGTTATGTGTGTGTTGGGGGCAAAGAAGAGAGACACAAAGGAACTAGGGAACCTCCATTGATAAAATCTCAAGCTCAGCCCACCACAGTGGTGAAAGCCTTGGGGCAGCTTGGTTAGGTGCTATATTAAGAGCTTCCCTCAATTTGGTGCTCACATCCTCCATTGTCGGTCTTCGCTTCGGATCAGTCTGAATGCACTCTTGTATTACCTCACAGATTGCTTCAAGTTCTTCGGTTTTGAATGATTGGAGTGTTGGATCAACCACCTTGCTGAGACTCTGTTTATCGTTAAAGTATTGAGCAGCCTGCCAAAGTTTCATGATGTTATTAGTTTTACCAACAACAACAAAAAACCAAGTGTTGAACAACATCAACAAGGGCCAAATTACTCAACTTCAAAAATACAAGGACCTAATTTGTCTATTATTTCTGTCCCTGATTAGGTATCCTAAACTATGGTACTCGGATTCAAGTTTGTGACTGTAGAATGCATGTATGCATCCCAAAAAAATGTATATTTTAGAGAATCTTTGGAATGGCGTATTCTTGTACTCATATCCAGGCATCAGTTAGACACTGAGTACCTAAGAAAAATGAAGAGTCGGGGTAAATTAGAACCTAAATATACCCAGTTCTCAATAGAGCTTTGCTCTCTACAGTAACAACGTTTACGGGTATGTCTCGGATACGAGTACGTCATAAAAGGGGGATGTGTAGAATATAGTAACTTGGATTCGAGTGTGAGGGTGGAACACGAGTTTGTGTCTGAATGAAGAGTTGGGGTAAAGTAGAACCTAAAACAATAGAGCCTTGCTCCTCAACAAAACAAGCTTTACAAGTATATGTAGAATATCGATACGTACTGAACGCATGTGCTTGGATTTGGGTGAGGGTGGAACACGAGTATGTGTTGATACGAGTACTTCAAGAAAAATAGTGGGAGTAAAGTGGAACCAAAACAGTAAAGTGGAACCAAAACATACCCATTCTTCGATATGGCCTTGCTCCTTGGTGTAAACAAACTTTCCAGAAATGATTTCAAGTAACAATAAGCCAAAGCTGTAGACATTCGTTTCTGGATCAACAAGACATGGCAATGTAGATTGTTCTGGATCATCGTCACCTGAGTTTTTTGAATTAATTAGGCCATCGAAACCAAGAACATCCGCAACCTGCGTAAAAGAGGAAAGAGAATTGGATGTTATTACAATTATAAGAACTTAAATAAAGTCAATATAGAAAGAAAATTGATGTACCTTTGCAGCATAATCATCTGTTAGAAGGATTGAAATAGAAGTTAACTTTGGATGAGGCAATGGAGGATTCAAATCATGGTGCAGATAAAGAAGACAATAAGCTACACCCATCACGATTCTCATCCTTGCACTCCAATCAAGATGATCCATATATTCTTCTGAGAATAAAAATGGATAACATTTAAGCTCACAAAGAATCAGTATCGGATAACCGGAAAACATACATGAAAGTGATGAGTATTACCGTGCAGATGCTCGTAAAGGGTTCCGCTTGGAGCATATTCAAACACCATCATCCTGCTGAAAGGTTCATCATCCACGCAGTAGCCAATAAGGTTGACAAAGTTCTTATGGTTAATTCGAGACATTCTGTCGATCTAGGTTGAGTTCCAATATAACAATTGATTGAAGAGAATTGGATAAAAAGTTATCAGAAGATTTATAAGTATGAAAAGTGATTTATGTTACGTTTGTGTACTGTGACTGTAAAAACAACAAACCTTCCTCCGAAAAGTCATTTCCAGGGTCTTTGACCACTCTTTTGAAGACGAAACACGGACCGCTGCAACAGCAATCTCGACCCCACTGGAAAGTGTCCCTTTATACACTGTGCAACCATCAATTACCCAAACTATATTGCTAAAGTCTTCACAGGCTATATCCAGTTCTGGTCGGTTTAGCTTAGGCACCCCTGCAGTTCAAGTAAACAGAAAATTAAAGTTTTTCTGCATTTATCATCAAGAAACACTTTTTGTAGAGCATATGAAGATGTAACTTGATGAAGAAAAGCCATCATGCTCACCAAAAGACAGTTCCAATGATTAAACGTATCTGACAAGTACCTGTAACAAAAGCTTTCTGCAGCTGGCCACTTATTCCAGTTTCCCAGGGACGTATGGATTTTGCTGCTCGTTTCCGGAACAAGAAAACAAAGGTTAAAAATGCAAGAAAGACAACCACACAGGCAATGATGAGGAGATATTTCCATCTATTTTCAGCAGTTGACTCTCTGTTGGAGGTTTGAGATGACCCGTCAACAAGATTCGAATTAGTCTTCGTTCCCTTAGGCACAGCAGGGAAACTCCCACTACTTCTAGAAGACGGGAGAGCAATGATTTGTTCAGTGGAAGACACGGAAGCAGCAGGTGCAGCTGGGAGGTCCCTTAATTGCAGAAGCAGTCTACGACGCTCCAAAGGGACGACAAGATTCCTTATGTACCGGGTCATTTGTTGCTCAGATGAACCTACTTAAGAAAAGTAACGTCATTGTTTCAGAAAAGCATACGTTGTAATTCAATGGACTGATATTTTTGTAAATGTCCACTCACGAGGCACATCACCGCGGCAACTGTCATTACGCTCAGCCAGAGAGTCCCTTTGCAACTTGAACCTTGTAAGAAGGCAAATCAGTGAATAAAGAGAAAAATAAGATGTTTTTTTAAAAAAATTTAAAAAGGAACAAATAGCATAACAAACGAAAAGAGTAAGACAATGAATAGATATACAATAAGTACATACCATTGTATTGACAAGTATTTGAGGTAACGTGTAAGAGCTCCTATAATCGGGATGAACAATGATCCTACTCCATTAAGTTGTCTCCCACTGCTCTGCCATATGCTGTCGACTTAGGCAATAAGTAATCAGTAAACAAGAGAGCTAGTGCTCTTAGTAAGTCTAATTAATCAGTTGAAAGAGAAACTGTGCTATAGATGAAGCATATTAATCTCCCACACACCACACATTCAATGCAAAATATCGACAGACTTTTTGTAGAAACAAGTTAAATGTCAAAAAAGTCCTATCCGTCCAGGCTTATGAACTGTTTCTTACAAGAAACATAATATTTTGCTGTCAAAAAAGTCCTATCTGTCCCGATTTCATAGTTTCAACAGTAGAATGAAGCAAAGCAATGAGTGACTCCTTGAACTTCGAGAATCATTCTAATTTATGAAACATGTATCTTCTAACTTAAACCCCAGCCTAGGTGATTATGTAGTTATGCCATATATATAAAGGTCAATGAACAATTGGGTAAGACAGTGGGGCGGATAAGTCTACATTCCTGACTAAGGGAAGGGGATCAGCCAACACAAGCAATAATCATTACTGCAACAAACATGAACTTACCAAAGTCCGAACTTTCTATTTGCACAGCCAATTCCAGTGGCAAATATCGACACTAGAGTTCCATCAAGCTGCAGTTTGGAGAGCAGTTTTGGCCTCCCAGGGTCTGAAGGAATGCTGCCCTCAAATTTACTATCGTAAAGTAACCTAAAGTAGAAGGAAATTAAGTTCAAGGTACACAAAGAATAAAACATTATGAACAACCTAAATACATTTACAAAGTGAACTTACAAGCATTTTAGAGAGAGTATATTTCCCATCTCTGCCGGAATTGTTCTGCCCAAGTTATTTTCCCTCAAATCCAAGAACTCCAGCTTTGTAAGCTCTCCAAACTCCTTTGGAACGACACCAAAGAAGCGGTTTCTACTGAGCACGTTGTTATTATAAACATCAAGAAAGAAGAATCAAGTTAAGCAAGAACTAAAGGCATAACCAAATATAACATTGCATGTTAAAAACTATATGTACTGCCATTTGATTTATTGGATTCCACACATTCAGGCAGTAAGTTTATCTATTGCAATGCATAAAACTATATATAGCCGCTAAATAGGAATTAAACAGTGAAAGATACTGTTATGACCCTAGGAGATTAGAGAAGAAATATAGACGAAGAATTGAGAGAATTAAGATTAAGGAGAGAAAAGAATAGATTCAAGAAGCTTAGAATTCATTCAATTAAAGCATACTTTCTCCTCCTCTAGTACATGGTTTATATAATTACAGTGTTCCCATAGTTACCCTACAGCTGGCAGTCCTGGTTGTACTGAGTATAACCACCTGCACAGCTAAGCAAGATGTTTCTTATCCTTAGTGGGCTGTAAAACATGTTAGGTCCAGTCCCAATTCCAAATCCCTAACCCTTTCTCTGATTTCCCCAATTCTCTTGCTCCGATTCTTATCGCTTCTCCTCTGATCGTGACAATACCCTCCCCACGAAATGATCCTTGTCCCCAAAGATCAAAATCTGAGAATTGTGCTGGAAGTACAATATAATTGACCACAGTGACATTTTCCAGTCCTAATTTCATCCACTGCATCTGATTGTGCTCTTGCTCTTTACGTTTGTCGAGCATTATAGAACCATAGAACCTTGCTGCCAGCTTCAATCCCTTTCGAAAAGCAAGTGAGGTTTGATGGTAAGACCGAAACTTCAGGTAAATTCTGTCCTCTGTCTTTATACCTCTGTCTGTCAATTTTATTTTAGCAAAAAATTTCAGCCTTGCTTGAGTCTTCTGAAAAAATTTCAGATTCAAAAATTGTTGTTCAAGTAACTGATTCCTGCTGCTTTCTTTGTTGACTTCCCATATAGTTATGACATTCCTCTTCCCTTGAAATGATCCTTGTCCCCAAGGATCAAACCCTTCTGATATCTCATTACTGATTTTCGCTTGCAATAACTGATATCTCCGCTTGAACTGTGCCAACTCCCGGAGAGCCTTCACCTTTTTATTTGTAACTTGAAGAAAATTTCTATGAAGTTCACCTATCTTTTTCTGAAGAGTTGCATTAACATTTTTCTCAAGTAAATGCCTTTCTTCCTGCTGCGATAAATGTTGCGATAAAAGCAACAGTGCTGCCATCTTTTCTTGCAATGCCTGTGCAAGGGCATCTGAGGCATCACCTTTAGTCTCAGCAGTATTTACATCCAGCATGCCCCTCTTTTCTTACAATGCCTTTGCAAGGGCTTCTGAGGCATTAAGCTTAGTCTCAGCGGTATTTGAATAGAGCAAATCCCTCTCTTTTACCTCATCTTCATCACCAAGTTCTAAATCTTCCTTGCTAATATCAACAAATTTATTTTCTTTAAAGGTCTGCAGATTTTTGATGGCAACCTCGTCGATAGGCTCAATTAAATAGAGAACCTCAATGTCTTTTTGAACCAACTTCTCCAAAAATGGAGCGGTCTTGGCACTTTTCAAGCTGTCAGTTGCTAAGTACTAAATTGCCTTTTGATTCTCACTCATATTTTCAACATATGTATACAAACTCGTCAATTCCTCTTCACTTTTTGATGTGTAAAACCGAAGTAATGGAGTTATACGTTTGTGATTACCAGTGTCTTCGATGCAGCCCAACTTTAGAAACCTGCCGAAGTTCTCCCAGAATTTTTTGTAATCCTCTTTATTTTCACTTTCAGAAATCTCTTGAATCATGTCAAATGTTTTCCTGACAAGCCTCTTTCTCATAATTCTCACAATTCGGCTCTCTTGAAGGGTCTCTCGAGAAACACTAAGGGGAAGATCATTTGAATCCACAACACCCTTCACAAAGCTCAAGTATCGTGGAAACAGCTCCCCATCAAACTCATCCGAGATAAATACACGCTTCACATACAAATGTATATTCTTTGTTTTAGAATTCGTGACATCCTCATTGTTGAGAGGGCCCATGCCAGGAATGTACAACACACTCCTAAACTCGACCTCACCTTCTGTATATGGGAAGTCAACCGAATTCATCGAAGCATATTTCCACGTCAAAAGACCTTCATTCCTCCAGCTTGTATCATAATAAGTGACGGTTTTATTACTCAATTCTTCTTGAACCTTCATTTGATTTTGAAGTTGTTGTGCAAATTCCAACCTATTCCAATTTTTTGTCCTGTCCATGTAGAGGTTTAGCCCCTCGACATTGAACTCACATTTGATGAATTCATCAACACCACCTGTGAAAACTTGTCTGAACAGTTTGTCATTACTGTCATGATCTGTCCAATGCTGAAACGTTAGCTTTGACATCTTTTCAAACAGTTTATACCCTCTATTGTGAAGTATCCTAATATCACTGGTTGTAAACTCATTGATAGAGTCACCATGTGCTGGTTTAGATTTTAGAATTTCGGGTTCATTGTGCTTATATGAAAATTGGGATTCATTCATCCCTGTAACTAACATAGGCTTCTTCCCATCAGTCTTAGGAAGGTTAGGAATATTTACTTGTTCATTCTCTGAACTGGTTTGTTCTTGTTCCTCTGTCCTCCCAGTCAAAATTCTCAAAATTTGCTCCACACAACCTTGATTCGTTGCATTCTTGACTCCAGTTTACTGATCCGATTATCCTGTTCTTCCCACCATTTAGGAGGTTTTGTGCCATCCGTTGCTTGCTTCACCAAGGTTGTAAGTTCTGCAATCTGTTGCTGGATTGAAGAAAGATCAGGAGTTTCGACCATGGTTTGGTATTTTTCTGGGTATAGTAATGAACAAGTTGCCAGGAAGAGTGGCTCTGAATACCAATTGTTATGACACTAGGAGATTAGAGAAGAAATATAGACGAAGAATTGAGAGAATTAAGATTAAGGAGAGAAAAGAATAGATTCAAGAAGCTTAGAATTCATTCAATTAAAGCATACTTTCTCCTCCTCTAGTACATGGTTTATATAATTATAGTGTTCCCATAGTTACCCTACAGCTGGCAGTCCTGGTTGTACTGAGTATAACCACCTGCACAGCTAAGCAAGATGTTTCTTATCCTTAGTGGGCTGTAAAACATGTTAGGTCCAGTCCCAATTCCAAATCCCTAACCCTTTCTCTGATTTCCCCAATTCTCTTGCTCCGATTCTTATCGCTTCTCCTCTGATCGTGACAGATACGTCACAACTTTGTTTCCAATAATTATATTTTAGTTGAAGTAGTGATTCATAATATCCAACAATCCCTACTAAGAAAATGAATGAAAAGCCACTAATTTAGCAGCAATTTTTGTATCTTACAGTGATCTTAAGTTGCTCAATTTCCCCAGCTCAGATGCCAAAGTTCCTTTCAAAGCAAGGGCACTCAAATCCCTATAAGAAAAAAAAAACAAAAAAAATGGCATCGGAACATTCATTCTTCCTAGTTTACAAAATAAAGCACTTCTAAACAGAAAAACTGCCCCGGTAAAGATCTTAACTCACTTAGTACGACCATTCTTTTTGTGTGTGTGTGTAAACTCGGGGTATCCCTAAGCCACAGAGACTTAAGACTAAACCCTTTCAGCACAGTAGTGGTTAAGGTAAAGCCCTCCCAATAAGTGCATTTCCCATTGTTCGAACTTAGCGTTCTCATCCTTACGGGATTAAGGCCGCTACCACCTCAACCAACAGTTTGTTGGTCACTTAGTAAGACCATTCACAAACTAAAATTTCGATTACCTACCAAAAGAAGAACTTGGCAAGGAATCTTTTCTTAATATATATATATAAATAGCATAGAGGAATACAAAAGTACTTACAGCATTTGCACTTTACCATCAACACAATGGACCCCAAACCACAAGCAGGGTGTGGTATCATTAGAATTCCAGTTTGCAAATGAACCATAAGGATCAGAACCAATCTGAGCTCGAAATTCTAACAAAGCCGATCCTGCATCTCAAAATCCGTTTCGAAATCAGACAATCAAGAAACGAAGTGAAGCGAATCGAAGAGCAACATAAACACCACAATAAGGAATTACCATCAGTGGAGATAGCCAGAGACTCATGAATGATAAAACTTGGAACCAACAACAATAAACTTAAAAAATAGAATCCAATTGAATTCGATTTACCCCCCATTGCTATATGAATCGAATGCTGCAATGGCAAACAGCCAAGTGCTATAAAGAAACGCCAGGTTTTCTTCATGCAAAGCTCCCCCCCCCCTTCCAACCTCAGCCCACAAAACGAAAGACCACCACCACCACCAACAGCAACAACAAAATAGAAAAAATAAAAGAATAAAATAAAATCTCTTGTTCTTTTTGTTTTCGGTTTTTCAACTACAAAACTATATTACAAAGAACAGCAAATACATGTACATTGGTGATCATATCAGAGTCAGAGTCTATCATTCCTTCAGCTCTTTTATCTGATATCAAAACACCCTTCTTTTTGACAAGTGCATGTAAGTCATCAAAAGCTGAAACTTAACTTGAAAATCACCATAAAGGGTGCACAAATTTTGAAACTTTGTTTTCCCTCTGATGTTGTTGCAATGATAATAATGGAATTTATTCAGAAAGTGGGAATTTGAACAGGTGAGGGTGGTGGAGAAAAGAGATCCTTTTGATAAAAGTATAAAAAAGGCAGCAACGAAAAGAACAAAAAAATGAGAGAAAAAAATGGAAATTTGAAACAACAAATTACACAAAAACTAAAAAAATCAAAATGAAATAAACCCAGATTTTTTTTTCAAATACTACCCTTTTTGACATTAACCATGATGATGCTCTATCCCTCTCAGCAATGGGGGTGGCTACCATCTTGGTTTTTCGTTTTTTGGTTTAATTTCTTACAATTTTTCCAGAGAAATTTCTACCCATTTTGCTTTTTCTCTCCTATTTTTCCCTGGAAAATTGGAGCCACCCCCCACAAACTGTGATTTTGTGTGTGTTTTTGCTTTCTGTTATTCTATTTTTTCTTTGTTCTTTTATGGATCATACTAAGATTTGCCCTTTTTTAGGTGTTTAATCTTGGGGATTTAGGGTGGGGTCCAAATAAAAGTAATGATTAATTTTAGTTTAATTCAATAATTGGCAATTAGTGTTGATAAGTACTGGCGGGAAGGATTAAGGGAAATGAGAGGATAGGGAACCTACGTAATTAAGGAACGGTGTTGGGGTTCCCCACCTCCGTTTTACATGGATTTCTCTTTTTCTATTTTCTTTATTAGTTAATTGTATCATGCATCCCTAAACTATGATTCATTCTAAAGTGGTCTCTAAACTTTCAAATATTTTAATTTAATCTCCAAATTATAACCTATATTCTAAATTGTTCCCTAAACTTTTGAACATTCTAAATACATCCCAAACTATAACAACAACAACAAAATCCTATTCCCATATGTAATGGGGTAAGGGGAAGGTAGGGTAGTAGGCTGCCCCCAACTCCAAGTTGAGAGCAGCTTCCGTGGAAGACCTCCGACAGTCAAAAAAGCAAAATACATCCCAAACTATAACCCTCATTCTATATTGATCCCTAAACTTTTTAATATTCAATAATATTCCCTTAAATCATTCAAAAGTTCAGGAATTAAATTAGAATATTAAAAAAATTTAGGAATCAAAATAAAATGAAGGTTGTAGTTTGGAGATGAATTTAGAATGTTAAAAAGTTTAAATACCAATTTAGAATACGAGTCATACTTTATAGATGAAATTAGAATATTTAAAAGTTTATGGAGTGATCATTTGGGGATGAATGCGCAATTAAATCTTTCTTTATTTTTTGCTTTTTAAACCTTTGACTAGATCCACAATTTACCATTCTTAGCAAAGTAGTTGTATTAAATTTTCAATTAATGTTGTTTTAAGGTAGATTTTATCTATTTTTATTTCTTTGTAAAAAATAACATACATCGTAGATCTAATTTTTTAAGTTATTAAAAGTTAAAATAAAATAGGATAAATTTTATTGAAATAAAGAAAGTAATTTTTTATTGTAGGATAGGATTACGCTTCAAAAATCAATTAAAATCGTCAATGTGTTGTTGAATTTTAACATTATTTTCAGGAATTGGATTAAGACGATACAATAAAAAAGTAAATATAAATCATAATGATAAATAGATTAATTTTGGATCGTTAAGTTGAAATTTAAAAATTCAAGATTAAGATTTAATTTACATAATTTAAAGTTGGTGGGATTGAAAAATATTTAAATCAAAATAATAATAATCCAAAAATTATATAGTTTTGTGTGCCTTAATTTTTAGTATAACTTTTTATTAACTTATATCAGAACATAAAATTTTACATTTGTCATTAATTTTTATTATTTTACTTAAGAAAGAAATAAAATATATATTTTGTAAATAAACTTATATAATAAAGTAAAAGTTGTTAAAAGTCAAAAATTTCGGTTTTAAATTTTAAAAAGATGTTTTTTTAAGAATCGAAAAGATTGAAATCAATTTGAGTTCCATTAAAATTCTAAAAGTCAGGCCAGCCCAATCGAAATAAAAATAATAGAATTTAATTATATTAATTAAGTTTCAATTTGCCTGATTAATTAGGTTACAAAACAATCACAAATTCATATTAAACTCCAATTTATAACTAAATAAAATTAAAATTAACCAAACGAATTTAATTAATTTCGATTGATTTAACCCAACAAACAAAATGCAAACTACTGTAGATTACATTTGTTTTAGAAAAGGGTCACATTTTTCTTAAAAAGGATACAATTATATTCATCGATAAATATAACGAATACAAAATCAATCATTACAAGCATACAAATACATCATTAACGTATACTTTTTTATTAAGTTAAAATTATTATAAAATAATAAATATTCTCAGTCATTTGACAATGAACGTTCAATCATCATGTTATAATTGTTGATGTTCGAACATGTGACTTCTAAGAACAACACCGATTCCTTTAATCATCGAGATAAGTTGATTCGTGCCATCGTTAACATAAATATTATAAACTCATTTTATTTATAAATGATATAAAAACAATCATATTGATCAACAATTTCGTATGTCATTTATTTTCTAGTGTTTTCGTATTGCTGTTTTGTAAGCAATATCATGTGTAATATTGTCAGATCTAACACAAGCATGGATCTCCATCCCCTGCTTTCTTACAAGTTACGGTGATCCATCAGCCCAAAATCATCTGCCGTCTTCTAATTCTCTGACCTATTAACTTTTTACAAGTTCTAGGCAGAAGGTACGTCCGGTCAAAGTTTTTTTGTCCGAGTTCAACTCTAGTTACTAAATGTCAGTTTTTAAAGTAATCATTGATTGGACGTTAAATGAGATAATCGTCGAGAAAGCATCAAAATCCGATGCTTATTTTTGGAAATTACCGGGTTAAGGGGTTGCCTGATCGCCTGTAGATGAACTGTTGAATGCACCGTGCATAACAAGTCTTCATCCCATCTGATAGTTTACTTTTTACAATATACTTCAAGCGTAGTGGTACAATACACTTACATGTAATTCATGGCCGCAAACTTGCAGAAATTTATGAGGGAGATGATTCTTGTTGCTTAAGACTATCCGCAACATGAGCAATCACTCCGATGTCGGCATTATGAAACCATTCGTTCTTCACCTGAAACGGCACGGGGGTGATCATAAGAGAACCCCAAGTGGAAAACAAACGTAAAAATCAAAAGTTTTAAGATCGAAATGGTACATGGATGTTATTGTGCGCAAACAAAGGCCAAAGCGCCGAGTGGAAACTGACACCGACTTTTTTCCATCCCAATTTCTGTAAACCTTGTATCATTTCCTCTGTAAATGGAATAGGTGTGTTAATGTCTGGGGAGAATCATAATCATATTAGCTTCCATGAGTTCATGGTATTCCACCGTATTTGTTGAATTGGGTGCATTCTGGGTCTCAGCCTTTGCTTTGACAGCTTCCTGAGGAAAATGAGGGCTGTCGGAAGAAACTGGTGGACAGTACTCCACATCGACAACGTGTTTGTAACCATCCAAAGATCGTAGCGGGGGCTGCCAAATCAGTATAAATGTCAGGTGTGTATGCATGAAACCGGAACGCCTCTTGTTCAGTACTTCTATTTCATTACATTAAAGTTTACCTGGACAAGTTCTTTCTCCCTCCAAATGGAGGATGTACGCCAACCAACCATATCTATTCGATGTCAAATAAAGTGCCAATCGGATGGCAGAGAGGAACGAGTAGAAAAGCAACATAGGTAGCTAACTATGGTAGAAGAGAAATGATTCGGAAAGATACGATCATAAGATACATTTGAATACAAAGTACAAGACCTAAATTCACTGAGGGAAGATCTGCAAAAAATATAAATTATAAACATAAAAACAGCCCAGACTTGGCTCCGTAGTATCCCCACGGGCCAAGAGTTGAAGTCAAATCCACAGCTTCCCCCCTCAAAAAATCATCACTTATATCAAAAGATAATGACGACGACGATGATGGTAGAAGTAGTAGTCAGTGTAAAAGCTAACTTTACGTACAAAAATTTTCCGTATTCACAATCAGATGCCATCCTCAAAAGCAGTGGTGGTCTGATGGGTTTGCCATCAGTAAGAAATATTTGTTTACCGGTTTGACCAAAAATAACTGGAGCAATTGGTGGGGCAGGTTTCTCTAGAAAAGGAGCTCCAAAGAGAAATGGAAGCTGAGGCAGCACAAAGAGTAATATTAGAAACTGCATTACACATACAAAAAAATGATACTAGTACAACTATTAGAAAACAGTATACGAGATTAGGGCTGTAAATGAGACGAGACAGATCATGAACTATTCGAGATCGACTCGATCAAGGCTCGATAAATACTCGGATCGAATGGACTCAACTCGACTCGAGCTCAACTCGGGTTATTAACAAGCCGAAACGAGCTACTCTATATTCGACTCAAAAAGCTCGTGAGCAGCTCGAAAAAAAATGTTATATTATAATTTTAGATTTTTTAAAATTACATTATTAAAAATATATTAAAAAATACATTATTGATAATTATAAAATTTTATAAATATATTAAAAATTTTATAATACAACTACCTCAAATTTTAATTTTTTAATTAACCAGCTCAAGTCCAATTGTTACATTGTATATTACTAAAAGAAAATTAAAAACTTATTTAATTAAACACATGTTAGATTACACTTGTTTTGTTGATTTTTTTCTTTCTTTTTTAACTTTTTATTGCACATGTACTTGACAACGTAAAAAAATAAAATAAGAAAAAACAGTCAAACAATGGAAAAAATGAAAATGGTTAAAAATTATTTTTGAATAAATATTCTTATATTTATTTTAAATTAATAAAAAATTATTTATCTAATGATAATATTTTTAATAACTAATTTTTTAAATTGTTGTTATATTTTGAGGTTTCGAGTTCAAATATCATAAATATCAAGGGTTTGAGCATTTAATATCAAGATACTATATTATACTTATCTCATAACTAATTTTTTATTTGACAATAAATATAATATAATATAATAAAATAAAATAAAAATATGATTCAATTTAAATATTAATAATTTAAAAAAAATATCAAAATATAGTGTAACCGATTTTATAAAGAATTAAGAAAGAAAAAAAATTCATTTAGACTTACATTAATATCTTAATTAACAAAATTAATGGCATCAAATCATATTTGAGAGAAAATGATCATCCCTACTACTAACATGTACCATATAAAGTAAAATAAGACAGATATATATGTATTACTAGATTCTACTCTGAAAAAAAAGAAAGTAATAATTGCATAGTTGGAAAATCAAAGCAATAAATAAAGAGAAGACTCAGAAGAAAAGAGAAGAGAAGAGGAGCAGAAATCAAAAAGACTGAAGCTTCTTATTAGATTTTTGTTCTTCAGAAAACGAAATAAAAACAAGTTACTCTTTCTCCTTTCACTAAGCCATCCCATTCCTTCTAATTATGTGATAGAGTTTAGGGTTTAGGGTTTAGGGTTTAAGTTATGCATATGAAGGTAACATACAAATTATGCAAAATGATGTTATGTGACTCCTAAATAAATCATTTACATACTTATACATAAACATATCAATATGCAAAATAAATATATACAACTAATTAAATAAAACAATCCTAAACAGAGACTAAATTAAGTGAAACCTAAATGTGAAGACTAATTTAAGCTAAATATACTAACTTTAGAATGATGATTAAATTCACGTAAATATAAAATTAAACTTAGAAAATTGGAATTAAGCCAATGACTTAAATACAAAATACGCATAAACTACAGGGTCTTATATGTAATTGATCCTATTCGGTTTAAATAAAAATAATATAAAAAATAACATAAATGACACCTGAATATTTAAAATAAATAAGAAAATTTAAACAAATGAGGACTGTTTTGTACTAAACCCTCATATGACTAATTTATAAAAGGATGCTCAAATTTGGAGGACTATAATCTAATTTACCGAAAAATTAATATGAAACCTAAACTTAAACTAAACTTAAACAAAACTCACGCATACAAATCACCCACAAAGCCACTCAGCCCCTTTCTTCCCTCTTCTTCCCCACGATCACTAGGGGTGTGTCCGAGTACCCGATTTTCGGATACCCGGAACTTTTGGGTTGACGATTTCTCGGTTTGTGTCCCGATCCGGATGTTACGAGTACCCGGTAATCGGGTACCCGATACCCGGTTTTTAATTTTTTATTTTCAAATTATTAATTTTAAAAAATATATACACAAATTTAAATGTTCGAAACTTCGAATTACATACTCTAATATCCGAACATAAAATTTAAAAGTTCAAAATATAAAATATAATAATCATAATATAAATAATTCATTATATTTTATATAATTATATATATAAAAAAAAAAACTAACCGGGTACCCGGAAAAACTCGATTTTGTGATCCGGACCCAACTCGGGAAATATCGGGCCGGGTACCTGACCCGGCCGGATAAATTTTTTTAGAGAATTACCCAGTTTTTTTAGATCCGGGTAATTTTGCACACTCTAACGATCACACATCGTCTAAAACAGAGCCTCCATCGCCGCCATCCACGGCACAGCCCACTCCAAAAGGACCCATGGCCGACGCTAGGCCACCACTCGCCGATGGCCACCCCTCGCATTCCTTCTTTGTTCTCGCACGATAGGCTTCAAACGATGAAGCCCTCCCATTTAAGGTAAGACCGAATAATCTCCCCCCTCTTCACTTTGTTTTTTTTTCTCTCAAGCTTTTCCCTAAGATTTTCATACCTAACCCGACTACTCTTCTCTTCCTAATCTCCAGACTTAATTTTATTTCGAAAATTTTACTAAGCTTAATCTTACCTTTTTTCCTTAACGATGGAAACCAAGCAGAGAATGAATGGAGTCAACAAGACTACTTGCATTCGAATAACCCAGGTAATATAACCTGTCCTATTTCCTTGTTATTTATTTCGAATGAAAACCTAAAGCCATGATTCCCAAGAAACCCTTTTTAGAAATATAAAATATATTTTATTTATTGATTCATTCAAAAAAAAGAAGAAAAAAATGGAAATCAATGAAGGAAATGCTACTGTGTGATAAATGCTTCTGATCATCGAAGAATGATGAACATTCTATAATGTGTGATAAAAGCGTCTGCTAAAATATTCATGTTCAAGGTTATACCATTTTTTTGTTTGCAATTTTTTTCAATGTCTGAAGAAAGAAAGACTGGTTCATAAGCTTTTACAATTCTTTATGCAAGGGTGCTTGCTCAAGGCTTAAGGGGACATATGCACTTGGGGACTTGGAATGTGCATTATCTTTTTGTTTGCCTATTTGTGTGACTACTTGTTTGCTGTTACTTTCTGTTAAGATGCTGCAGGTAAAAAATATGTTGGTTGACACCGTTGTATGATTTCTCTATTGTCATCGTTCTTTGCTTATATATATGTATAAATTTCATTTTTCAACTTTGGTTTTTATGTATAGAGAAAATGTCTTTATGTTACTTTTAACTTCTCTATTCTAAATCAAGTTGTGTTTTCTGTGAATTAGGTTGGCATCTGTGTAGCAACTGTAAGAAGAATGCCCATTATATGTGTTACACATATATCTTTTCCTTGTGCAAGGGATGCATCAAAGATGCTGTAATCCAATGTGTTAGGGGTAACAAAGGTTTCTGCGAGTCATGCATGAATCTTATCATGTTGATTGAAAGGAAGGATCAAGAAAACGAAGAAATGGTATTATTATACTGTTATTGTATTTCCATGTTATTTCTGTTATAACATTGCATTTGCAATGCTTGATTATTGTTTTATCATTTAACATTGTGAGCTTGATCGTGTTGTTTTCAGTCATATATGCATTAAGAATGTGACTTCTGATGTTGTCTTTTGTATTTGTAGTATGTTTCCATGATTTTTATTTGATTGTGGGAATTTGATATTTGGAATAATTTATGCACTTATCTCAATTTGACTGATACCGTGTTTCAAAATTTAGTTTCTTTTAATAATTTTTTAGCCTAATAGATTAATGTGGTAAGTTGTAAATATGTAACAGGTGATTTCATAGCATCAACTTTCTTTCCTAATATAATTTCAAAATTATTAATATCGATCTTGAGCTCTTTTTTGCCTCTTGGTATTTGCTTCTTCTTTCTTTCTTTTTTCCTTATTTTGTTGGGGGGAGGGGGATATTCCGTGTCCTTAGACTGTTTTATTAGGCTGATTTTATTTTGAATTCTTAGCATGCTTCATTATAGATTGTTTGAAGTCTATGTTTCTTATAACGTTTCACTATCTTTGAAAAAAATAGTTAACGTGTTTGAATTGTATGGCTATAGCAGCCTCTTGACCTTCATACTGGCATTGTTTTGACTCTGATAATTCTTCTGGGAATGTGGAAGTAACTGTTTCTAAACGAAGAAAGACTAGGTGTTAATCAAAGGTATTCCCTAGATATGCTTTGCATGATCATTCTTAACATGCAACTATCAAGATATTTGTCATCTTGTATAAATTTGGATATGTTGTCATATTTGTCATCTTTTTATAAATTTAGATGTGTTGTCATATTTTGTAAACTTTCCATACATTTGAAGTTTTAAAAACTTCAAAGCTTATATTAATTATCCTAAATTTCTTGTAATTGTATTTTTATTTTTTAGATTTTTTATAGTTCATACATTCATATTATAATGTATTGGTGATGATTGATTAAAGGGAAAATTATTTATATATTTTAAATGTAATATAAGATTTTTGTAGGTTCAAATTCGAGTTTGAGTTCGAGCTTGAATCGAGCTGGATTCGAGCTTAAAATTGAGCTTTAATCAAGCTCCTGAATATTTTTTGAGTTCGAGTCGAGTTCGAGTCGAGTTTCAATATTATATTTCGAGTTCGAGTTGAGCTTGATAATTTTTAGCTCGCGAGTTTTCGAGTCGAATCGAGTCTACTTTTAAAGTTTTCGAGTTCGAGTCGAGCTCAGCAATACTCGAACTCGACTCGGCTCGTTTACACCCCTATATGAGATACCAGAAGCATGTTAATAACATCAGAACTATTGGAGACAATCATTAGAACTCTAAGACATTATGAAATAAACTTGATAACCAACAACATCGAGAACTAACTTGCTTTCTCCCTCGGACCCCAAGATGTGGTGTAGCCAAGGTAATAAAACTGACTGGCTCCAGTCCAGCAATCATTCCTCGTCTTGAAGGGGATGAAGTTTGTAAATTTCCATCTGAAGAATCAGTTCCATTATTAGACTGGGTACCACTTGAATCGCTTTCTGAGTAAAGAACAGCAACTGCATATCTTGCAAACAAGCCCCCTAGAGAATGATCTAAAAACGAAATCCTTTTCAGGCTTTCGCTCTTCTTTACAACTTGCAGGACCTATTAAACCGAAACAAGGTGAATGGAGTAATCAATACTGCAGGAAGCTAAAGGTCTTTCCACAAAACTCTCAAGTTTGAGACAGAATTACAACTCACTTCATCCGCTAAGCGCTTCCCAGCTCCATCAACCCCGGCAAAGGTTTTAGTATGGCTGTTAACCGAACTTGCTGCAACAAATTATTACATAAATAAGGAATAATAGATTATCTTTATACATACAATTTACAAGAGATTGAAGATATGAACAAATACCATAAATCAGAAAGGTTCTCCCAAGCCGCCTTTTCAACTCCGCCTGCATATGTCCAATCACTAGGACTGCATTATGGAAATGTTTCAACCAATTTGGTATCAAAAACATTAAAGGCCATACCAAATCACATTTTAGCATCAGTTATTCATTAAACACTATTATGCATACAAGTTCATGTACGGAACTACATACAGTCACATAGTAATCCATCAAATACCTAGCCAAGATGCCATGAACAAGAACAAGAAGGTGATCGGGCTCATTTTTTCCTCCACGATGCGGTTGGATGCAATAAAGTCCCCTCGTGTAGTTGTACTCATTGCTTGAGCTCTAAGGCCTTGATGTCTCCAATTACTATTTGTTCCTTTAAAATGTTTATAAAAAAAATCAAGAATTAGCTAAACAGAAACGGTAATATCAAGAATTCAAAATGGCCATTAATGCAATTTTTGCACTTTCATCACCAAATAACATATTTCAAGTCCCTAAATTCCTAACTGAATATCAAGTCCTCAAAAAAATCAATGAGATTCCTTTTCATTTTCTTTTAATATAATCACTCACTCACTTTAGCATAACTTGAATTATTTTTTACTTCGACTTACAAGTGTAATCACAGTTTCAATTACAAATAATACAAAATACGAATAACTAGAACCAGAATCAACTAAAATTCAATCAGAGTCATAACCGAAATAAATTTGAATCTAGATCCGAATAAATTAGAACATAACTCGCTAATACAAAGACTTAAACTAAATCAAAATTCCACATCTGTTGGAGTCGAATCAAATCACGGATTAAACAAAATTCAAATTTAAGTAAAAGTACGTTACCGGAAGAGAACTTCAAATTGTTGGAAGAAAAAGAACAGGAACATGAGGAAGAGGAAGAGGACGAGATTGAAGCGAACGGGCTGATGAAACCGTTTCTGAAGGTGCAATTATTGCTCTTATTACTGAAAATTGGAGAAAACACACATCCTGCTTGAATCAAAGAAGCCGTTGCCATGTATTTTCTTCTATTTATATATATATCTTAAAATACTCTTCCAATGCAAGCGCGCGCGAACAAGAAGGGGAAAAAAACAAATTTCCCTCGATTAGCGGGGTCTCTGAATGCTGTCATAATCTGCCAGTTTGTTTTATATTTCTCGAAGTGACACCCTTTCGGATGAGGTGACGAAAGGCGCATCTCGGGAATGCGCTTTACTTGGTTTTACGCTGAGTTGGATGCCACGTGTGAAAGGCGCATCCTCGGAGACGCGCTTTACCTTTATTTTGTTGATTTAGTTGCCACGTGTGAAAGGTGCATCCCCGAAGACGCGCCTTTCATTAAATGTCTTAAATGCCTATCCGATTTTCCCCCAACTACCCCTCCTCCTCCACCTATATAAACCCCTTCAACTCCCCTCATTCTTCACACCAAAATCATCTTCCATTGCTATTGAGGGACTCAAGCCGTCCAAAATCTACTAGAATACATTGTGATATGGATATTCGGGAGAAGTCAACAGAACAAAAACGATGTGGGCATTGTAGAAACATCAGACACAATAGAAAAAAATGTTCAGCTCTATTATCATTACATAACCGTTAACTCTTATGTAACCTAATATTCTATTTAAATGAATGTTTATGTTTCTAATATTTAAATGTAATTGCATTTTCTATAATTTCTCAATGTATAATAATAATAACAGATTAAATGTGTAATTATACTAATTTTATTAACTTATGCATCAATATTTTGGTTAAATAATAATAACATATGACTAGATTGATAATATTTAAATAATTAAGTGATAAAATTAATAGATCGATAATCAAAATAAAAAATAATAATATAACCATACGTGTAATATAATAATTTTATACATTTTTCATATAACTACAATAAAATAAAAATTAGTTTTCATCTGTTGTTCTATCCGATTAATGTAGATAATACACTACACCTTTAACACACATTAAAAAAATACATTCGATAATTATTAAATTATAACTGAAACAATTTACATAATATATTACTAATTTATAATAACAATAAAAATAAAATTTTTATTATTAAAAAAATATCACATGGCAACTGAATCAACAAAACCAAGTAAAGCGTGTCTCCGGGGATGCGTCTTTCACACGTGACATCTAACTCAGCGTATAACCAGGTAAAGCACGTCCCCGGAGATGCGCCTTTCGCCACCTCAGCCGAAAGGGTGTTACTTCGAAAAATATAGAACAAACGGTGTTAAAAAGGAAAATATTCAATTAAAGGGTGTCAGTTTGGTCAAATCGCTGATATGTTACCTGTTGCTCATCATCATGATGGCGATTTTGTTGCTATTTTTGAAAGTGAAATATCTTAAGGATTTCGGGGTAAAAACATAACTTTTTTTGTATGGAATTTAGGAATGGATGTGAGAGACGGAGAGTGATTTCATGTTTGCATTACCTAATTTTTGTAGAAATTCTATTGAAAATATTAATATTTTTTTAATATTTTTGGTAATTTCTTAAAATATTATCTTTTTACAAAAAATATTAATTTCGTTACTTAATTTCGGATAGAAAAATAATATTTTAAGTAGTGTCTAATATTAACATTTTTCTTAAAAAATAATATTTTAGGTAGCGTTTTATCGAAAATGTTAAATATTTTAGATAACGTCCAATATTAATATTTCCGTTAAAAAAATAATATTTTAAGTAACACTTTACAATAAATATTAAAAAAATATTAATATTTTCGACAACATTTTTTATTAGTTGTATGGTAAAGCTATCATACCTTAGACATCCCTTTTAATTTTAGGTCACCGACCAATGGAATCTAATGCGTATGTTTTTTTGGATAAATTATAAATTTGATAATTAAACTTTTTTATGATTCTTATTTTATTCACCATACTTTCAATTTTTTCACTTAATTTACTCAATTTTATAAATTGAATTTTTTTATCACTCCGTTTTTAAACTTTTCACGCCATTATGACGTGACTCACTTAAACTATTTTTAATCATTAAATCTTTTATATAATATATATATAAAAAGGTGAAAGAACATAGGTTTGACTTGAGACCTTCAGTTCAGCTGAAGAACACAGA